CTACAATCGCAAACTCAAGGTTCTAACAAAATTCAAGAACGGTAATCGATTGAATTAGGAGATTTAGGTTATTTCAAATATGAAATTACATCTTATCATTTCTATTTAGAATTCAAAACAAAAATTCAATATCATGAAAAATGAAATTATCCTAAACAGAAAAGAAAAGATGAAGAGATAATTCATTCGGTAAAAATTAGGAACTCAAATGTACTGTAGTTCTTGAAACCCTAAACCGATTGATGGATTAGTCTTGCCTCATAATCATGTTGCTTCAGCCAATTCTAGTGTAGAAGAGAGAAATCTCGTGAGAGAGAGAGAGAGAAGAGAGTATTTGATAGAAACTTCCAACACAAGTAAACTCAAATCTGAAAGATGAAGGGAAAATGAAATGCAAATAGTCATTACATGTATTTAAAGACAAACTAATGGGCCTAAGCTAAGGGCCCAACCCATTAATTATACTCCTAAATCCTAATTAACTACAACTAAACAATTTCAAGACAAGCTAAAAAATTTAGTGTAGGGACATGAGCTTGAGGCGGGATTTTGGGCCTGAAAACGTCTGAACTGGGTTTTTCTCCCAATGTAGAAGTTGTAGAGCTCCCTCTTATATTTCTAGAGACACCAAGTTTTCCCAATTCTGAGTTGTATGGCTCCAGATATGGCATGCACAAGAAACTGTGTCAAAACAGGAAATTATTACGGGAATTTAGTAAAATTTACAACTAAATCCTAAATGAATCACTAACACAAATCTAAACTAATACATGAATGTATAACACTAAAAGAAGTCAAAATGAGGCAAAAACATATAAAGAAAGATGTATTAAAATATGACTATCAATCAACACTACTCTAAGAGAATAGATCAACATTATCAAGGGGGTTTGAGTGATAAATGACTGGACCTCCGAGGGTAGGTGTTTGCCAATGTTGGTTACTTAATCGAGCTTAGGGCTGATTTGGAGATTTTCCAATTCATCAATTAGTGTTGGAAGGTTGTCTTTGTATTCAAATCAAGGGTTAATGTCACGACTCGTGTACAATAGTGGGGTGTTTGATGTTGTCGTTTGTTCAATTGTGGTGGGGGTGGCCTTTTTTTTTGGGGGGGCGGGGGGGTAACCTTGAGCTCTTAGCTAGCATCATCTTGTTATGTGTTGGTTGACTTAGACTATAATTATGCTACCATCCTTGGCTAGGATTTTCATCGTCAACTAAGGTGTAGACACTATGGCGCCAAGGGCATTGAGAGCAAGTTGTCCAACTATGACATTGTTTGAGGTGGTTGCACCTACCAACAAGTATTTGATGTTCAGTGATTTGACGTGTTTGCCACTCCCAAACTTATTTGGGAGTTCCATGTAGCCTCTTGTGTCGACTAATCAACTTGTGAATTCTAGCAGGGGGTTCATTGTACGAATTGATATCGTCTTAGAGTAGTTTCATTTGAAGAAAAGTGTTTCAATATAGGATGTCGATCGAGCTACCTTGATCTACAAGGGTTTTCTATAATCCAATTGGTGACTAGGACCGAAATGACCATGAGATCGTCATCATTTAAATCCATGCCTAGAAAATTGTTGTGAGTGAAAGTAACAAGAGGTAGTGATCTAAGTGAGTTACCCTACACTATGGTGGCACTATTGATAGCTCTAAGATGTATCTTGCATGATGAGTTGGTAAGATCGTCGCCAGCAAAGCCACCAATAATGACGTGAACGATGGTTTTGTCAGTGTTTTCATTACATAATAGTAGATTGGCCACCTCCCAAAGGGAGTTTTGGGAGTGATGGTGTTGCTGACATTAGTTGTCATCCTTCTTTCGGATGTACGATGGTAGTTCAACGTTATATGGTGCAATGGGCAAAGTTATGGTAGTTTGAGGTCAACGTTTTAGGACCGAGCTGAGGTCATTGATTTTCATGGAGATCCTTGGTGCATCACTATCCATAACGTGATTCTAATGGGAAATTGTGTGTGGCCAAAGGATTGTTTCACTTTGACCCCACGGTGAATGTTAAATGTTCTTACCAAAATTTGCAAGTGCTCCAATAGCGAGGATGGCGTCCTAGTTGCTCCAATGTCCACAATGATGGGGGCACCTACAAAGATACTTTAACACTCAAGTTAGAGAAGTTTAGATTAATAATGAGAGTGGAAAAAAGATAAACACTAAAAGAGAGGGTTAAATAGTGTATATCAAAAAGTTACACTTTTTCGTAGTAAAGTAGTAACACTAATCAAATGGAATATAAAGAGAAGTCAGACGGAACACTGAGTATTTTTATACTGGTTCATCTAATCACCAAGACCACGTCCAGTTCTCAGTCCAACTAGATTGAGTTCCACTATCTTTAAACAAATATACAAGTATTCTTTCAACAAGTCACTTTTGGCTCAACCTAAGTATTTTTTGACTTGCCTCTTAAAGTAACTATCCAAGTATTCTTTTTACGACAAGTATCTCCAGTCTTAACAACCAAGTATTATTTTACAAACAAGCCTTTCAAAGCTCAACTAAGTATTCTTTTACAGACAAGCCTTTTCAGGTTCAACCTTATAACAATGGTTATAAAGGTTACAAAGATGTTGTTTTGTCTTACAAATAAGACGTGATACAATCAATTAAGCACAAAAAATCTTTATAGAAAGAATAGATATTTGTACAAGATATTCTCTTTTTCGTAGTTAGCTCATTATCCTTCTTTCTGTTGTTGAAGTTCTTTATTTAGTAGCCTAGATGAAGATGATCGTTACTACACCTTGAGGGTTTCTCACAAGCTTGCTTCATCTGTCTTCCATCTAAATCCCTTGTGATGAAAAGTTTATGTTGAAACATAATGCTTGCATTAATTACATTTCACCAAATTATCACTTCTTATCTAATGAGGCTACTTATCAGCTTTAGAAACCAAATGGACTTTCTAAGGCGTGTGACAGCAAAGTACATGTTTTGCATCCACTTTTACTAACTTTTTCCTTGATTTCAAGGATCCATCTATCCTTGTTTTTTGTGCATAGCATGACTTCATTAACTTTAACAGATTTGTGAGTTCAAATGAGTTTTATTTATTCAATCTATTAAGGAATCAATTAGTTGTGCACTAAATAGTCGTTACTCATAATAAATGATATGTATTTAAAACATTATGAAGTAAGACTATATACTTTATCTAATAACACATCGTTTGTCTAAAGAATTGTGTCTTATACTTCGTTTGATTTGTATTTTGCAAAAATATTTTCCTTTAAATAATGTATGATATCTTAGAGATATTGATACTCATCAACGAAAATACTATTTTCAATAAATAAAAACATTTTATTAGATAAATATAATGTGTTTATTACAATTTTTCAAAATACATTTATGTCAAAATATTTTGCCAAAGACTCAATGTAAGCAAGCGGCCAGTGGGCAAGTTGGGCATTAAAACATATAATATCTTGAAGAAGAAAAAAAATTTAAGGGGAGAACAAACTTGAAATTTAAACTTTTGCATAACACCTAGGAACCACTTAACTGAAAATAGCGTCGGCAGTTGTGAGGGCAAATACGGGACAATAACAATATTTCACATGGCTCTGTCAAAACAAAAAATAAAATATAAAAAAATCGCACATTCACAGAGCTACAACACAGACCCCTAAAGATTCCAGTGACCGTGCACTTTTGTCATACTTTTACATAGATTTTTTCATGTCCTTTCCTGTCAGGAAGAGAAATCCATGGATTAATTATGAATATATAATACAAGAGTAATATTCAATCACACTTCTCTTATAATATTCAATCTTACAACATTCATTCAATACGTTAAAATTTGTTAAAATCCACTAAATCAGAAAAACAAAAATCAATTCAATTTTATTAGTTAAAATTTAGAATTAAATAATTTTTTTCTTAAAAAATAATTGACTTTATTTAATTTTAATCTCTCAATTTTTTTAATTTTAATCTTCCAAATTTCTATAATATTTAATTTAATTTTTTAAATACTATTAACCTTTAATCTTCCAAAACAAAAACTCTTCTTTCACTCAAGGTGAAAACAAAATAAAACACTTTTAAAAATCTCATATAAGAATTCAAGAATAAATAACAAAAAGTTTAAAGTATAAAATTAATTGTTATTCTAAATTTAATTTAATCTTAAAATAATTAATGATTTAAATATTAAAATGACATTTTAATAACAAAAATTAATAATATTTAAATAAGAATAAAAAATGAACATATAAATTTGAAAGACCAAGATCAAGAGCAGGAAAAAATCTCCATGTGATAGAGAGAAAATGGATAAGAAAAAACGTGGAGAGTGAAAATGAGAGATATTTGATTAAGAAAAAATAGTGAGAAGAAAAATCAAAAGATGATAGATCTCATCTTTTTATTTATTTATTTATTTACTTCTTCTCTCTTATATATACCTAATTTTTTACACATTTCTCACTTATTTCTTTTCAAACAAATAACCATTTTTCTATTTTGTTTCTTATTTATTTTCCTTCACTTTTTATTTTTCCATTTTATTTCTCATCTATTTTTTTTTCTCTCTATCAAACTACCATTTATTTTACATATTTTTTTTAACCAAATAAGTCATGTGTTTAAAAGAATGTACTAATTGAAGTGATACTTCTGCATTTTTCTACATAAATATATCTTAGAGAGGGAAAGAATGT